GCCACTATGCCATGACAGCATGGTGCATGCACCCAAAAACCCATGCAAGTGAATATCTACAATGTGCCAAAGGATTTGTTAGAGCTGGAAATAAGTTAAGTGTCACTGGGGACTTGCTCCTTCACAGTTTGAAAATGAGGTACCCCAACTTTGAGCTGACAGTCATGCTTGTGTAGTTCTACAGTCACTAAATGAAAGGATTAAAATAATTCTGCAATGTGCTTCATGAACATTCTAAACAGTTAATAGGTCTAAATGTCTTTTCCTTTGATTGAATTCTTCTTATTTATTGAAATAAAGAAATCTTATCATACTTCACCAGTCATGGGTTGATAATGGAATTTTCAGATGCTTCTGGATAATGATTGATAGGCATCTGTCAAATCTATGTTTGATTAATGATGTGAAAGTTCACTGTTATGCTGAAATTTGAATCTTTGTCAATTCAAAATTATTAGTTTCTAATAAAAAATGTCCTGAAAATCTGTCACGACAGCCTCGTGTTCCAGAGCTGTCTGTCTGTGCTGGCTTAAACAGAGGAGTTATTGCCCAGCGTGAGTGCACCTGCATGTGTTGTATGGAGATGTTGATTCTAACCCTGGAGTAATGGGGTGTGCTTATAGGCAGTGTGTTGGACTATTACTGAATGTGAGTAACTTCTTCTGCACTTGTATTTGATATTCTGTGCCATTTGTAGATTAGGAGCATGAAAACAGAGTGGCACATAATGCATGTGTGATTAGTGTGGGTAAATGATCTAAAACCAGACAGTCTGCAGAGTGCTGAGATATTGGCAGTTCCCTGATTGCTATGATCTGCTTCCACGGTAATCACTACAGCAGCAGAAGGTTTATTTTGTTTAGAGACAAGTGTTCATTTTGATTTGCAGACCAATTAAGGGAAATGAAGTAAAGTATGTTTACAAAAACATAAGTCTTTTGTCTTTTGTGGTTTGATGTTCAAAGTTCAAATTCAACGGACACAAATGAGTTTCAGAGATTACATTTTACTAGCAAATAAAAGGAATAAAAATGTCTCACTCAGATCATTTCTGTATATTTTCATGGACCATTCAAATCCTATTAGAAAGCTGCTGTATTCTTAAACTCTGAACTGAATCAGAAAAGGTTCTCCCACACACCTGTCACATTAATTTGCAGGTCAATCCATCAATTAGTTTTTACTTTCTTCACCCACACAGAATGTGAAATAATTAGTGCACCTTAACTTAAGACATCTGAAACAATTCTAAAACAATATTGATTGATTTGACACAACAATAAACTAAAGAAATGAAAGAAAAGGAAATTGCATGGATAGATACACTTTTCAGTGATTCAGTATGGTGCCTTATCAAGTACATTTTTATCTTTTTATCATAGTCACAGCTATCCCACCTGATCTCCTCTTGTGTTATAAAAGTAGGCAACTGCATTACAGTATATGTTACAGGAAATACGTATTATTTAAATTGGCAAGTATTACAGTTGTGTTGCTTTCGTGGAGAAAAAGAACATTGTACTTATGATAAGAATTTGATAGTAAATGTTGTGATCATACAATAGGTCATTTTTTAATCATTAGATTGCATACACTAACTAGAACGCCTACTGCAGTGTGTACATTCTGACATATTTTGGACTAAAAATCCAGATGAGGAAATCGAACTATGTATGGTTCTTTGAATAGTTCTGTTGTGTGAGTGAATGCCTATTAGGGACAGGCATTCGATGAAATTTTCTTAATCAATCGTCAGAAGAATTAAAGATTGATTATCGATTAATCATTAACGTTTTTATATTAAAATGATCATCATTATTATTACTATCTGCACTACTAATCTGCATAAATAAATTCAACTTTACGACGTATAAACCATAACGACTCTAGAGCCACATCAGCCCGTTTGACATTATAATGTGTTTAATTCACTTTTGCGCAACTCTCACAGAAACAAAACTTAAAACCGCATCACTAATTTGTATAAACTCAGCAAAGAAAAAAAACAGCTCTTGTGTCGCTGATGTGGTTCAACTTCTGTCGGATTAAAAGACACGACTCAGGTGAATACAGGTTAGTGTGAACATATTTGCGTTTGTCAAAACCAGGACACCATATGGGGGGAGGGAGGTGGGGACTCGTCATCCACATTGGGCGACTCTCACCTGGTAAAACTTTTTCCCACTGGACACAGAAACATATGTGCTGCTTTATACACTGTGCACATGGACTCACACTTGTCCCGACTTGAACGGAAAGGAATTCTTGTACAAGTCATCGTTAAACACACATTTGCACTTCGACACATTGCAGACTGACCGACTGTGTCTCGCTCCTTCTGATGCAGAGACACATGTACAGACCCTGTTTGGTCACACTACACACAGCAACCTACATTCAGTTTGTTGATTAAAATGAATGTAAAGGATGAAATTCTTAATGATCAATTATCGATTAATCGACTAATCATGCCCATCCCTAATGCCTATGCTTTTTTTTCCATCTCTCTGTTGTGATGCAATTAAGTGGTAGTTTTCAAGTTAACAGCTACATTTCAGCCCTGTTTAGTAGAGATTGGAAATACTACGTCTGAATTTATTCAAATGATTCTAGTGAAGGTGCATGGAGTTTAAAAATCCAGTGGAGCACTTTCTGGAATGTGGCAAAGGGTTTGTTAGTGTGTCACTGGGGTCTTGCTCCTTCACAGTTTGAAAACAAGGTACCCCAACTTTGCGCTGACAGTCATGCTTGTGAAGTTCTACTTTCACTAAATGAAAGGATTAAAACAATTCTGCAATGTGCTTCATGAACATTCTGAACAGTTAATAGGTCTAAATGTCTTTTCCTTTGATTGAATTCTTATTTATTGAATTAAAGATATCTTATCATACTTCACCAGTCGTGGGTTGATAATAGAATTTTCAGATGCTTCTGGACAATGATTGATGGGCAGCTGTCAAATCTGTGTTTGATTAATGATGTGAAAGTTAATTGTTATTCTGTAATTCGAATCTTTGTCAATTTCAAATTATTAGTCTCTAATAAAAAATATCCTGAAAGTCTGTCACGACAGCCTTGTGTTCCAGAGCTGTCTGTCTGTGCTGGCTTAAACAGAGGAGTTATTGCCCAGCGTGAGTGCACCTGCATGTGTTGTGTGGAGATGTTGATTCTAACCCTGGAGTAATGGGGTGTGCTTATAGGCAGTGTGTTGTAATACAAAAGTGGAGCACTTTCTGTATTACCACATGACATCACAAGGTAGAACAGAGTGTTTTCCATTTGAGAAGAACTCAGCCTAAATATGTTTGATTTGTGGTTAAATATGTGAATGAAACAAAACACAACACTAGATATAATTTTTTAGGTAATATTATAGCAACCTGATCACAAAATGCAGTAATATGGGTCTTTTAATTAAGAATTAGAAGATGTTTGATGAATGTTTGTCAAATGCAGGTTTTAAGTGTGAGAGTGTCAAAGCAATTGAAGGTTCTATTTGAGTCAAGACAGGCAAGTCACATAACTAGAGTGTTAATTGACAGCTGCTGTTGGTTCCGTACATTTGGAGACAAGAAGACGTTTTATGTCTGTACTACTCAGTTATCATGGCAAAATGTGTAGGGTGTAAGCCAGATACTCATTGTGATATTTTCATTAATGGAAACATGGAAACATCGTTAATGGAGTCATTTTAACAGTCTATTAAAACCTAATACTTGAAGCATGAAGGAGGTTAAGTGATAAACCCAAAAAGAAGTGTTGTCACGATACTAAAATTTCAAACCCAATTTTGATACCAAGGAATAGACTCAGAACTAAATATGATTCTGGTGCCATGATGATCATAAAAATATGCATCTTAAGACAATATAATGTGATTTTCAACATGAAATAATAGTACTGTATTTCATATTATCATGTGGTGTTATCTCTGCGTAATCCCTCAGTCTTGCAGGTGTGTTCCACAGTGGTCCATAGGTGTATACTAGTCCATTTAGTACTCTTATACTCATTCTGATACAGCTAAAGATCATTGTAAAGTTATTCCAAAAATGTACATTTTTGTCCTGTGAATGTGACCTTTTTATTATTGATACTTGTTCAAATTAGTATCTAGTTTCAATATTTCATGTACAAGCAACCAATCCATAGGTAACGCCTAGTTGGATGCAAGCAACACTTGGATTTTAGATTAGCAGCGTGAGCCAGCGTGAGCCAGCGTGGTTCAGCAGGAAACAGTTAGGAGGCTGTCACTGGGGGGAAGTAAAGCCAAGCAGATGTTACATTTACTCTTTTCACAAGAACTGAGAGAAGGAGAGAGCTAGGAGAGGACACATCTGCTGCCTTCAAACCGGAAATATGAAGAGGAGCTGGCTGTATAACCTCCTCATGCATTTCTTTTCCTCACTGCACACACCAAAGACATGCCACAACCAGCAGTTATGAAAATGTGTTCAGCTTTGAAGTTTTTACAGTACCTTGCATTTAAACTGCTTTTTAGTTGTTTTTTTTAATTTGACCTGACTGTCATCTTGAATCATCTTAATTGGGTATATGATTGACAACTCAGTTCAAAGAGTTCATTTAAAACACTCAACTTCTATCAAGCTTTTGTCACTATGTTTTACAGTAGTGCAGTACAGACTAGATCAAATATAACCCCAAACACACACTTAGGATTGGTTTTATTTCTGTTTATTTGTATTAATTCCTTTTTGTTTGAGTAAACCAACATGCCAAAACTCTATCCGAACACATTTCATGTCTTCAGTCTCCAGGATGCGTCTCCTAGGTGTATGGTACATAAATATATATTTGATGAAATACACTTCTTGGATTTCAGCCACTACAGAAGTTGCATGGTGATGAATGAGTCATCAGAAAGGTCACATGGGTGGATCTTTAACATAGGCACTTCAGTATTGTTCAAAGTGTGTTTTTGTGTAAAATAATATATATATATATATATATATATATATATATATATATATATATCTTACCTCCAGAATGAGGAGGAGGGCCACACAGCAGCACCACTCCTTGGCCTTCCCGTACTGACACTGAGCTTCTTCTTTGGGTCTTGAAGTGTTCCAAATCTAAAAGAGGCAAGAGAACAGTGAGCAACAAACACATCATGATTCAGCATTCAAGCCTTGGACCAAAGAAAATAATAAGGATAATGAAGTCTACACACATTTTTTGTCAATTATTAGTGCCTTTGCCTCAGGGTTCAGTCATGGGTCCTCTTTTATTTTTTTATGTGAAATACATCCTTGATTGGGATGAAGGAAAGAGTCATTCTGAAATGTACATATATGAAGCTATGATGTATGCACATGGGAAAGACAAGGAGGAAGCAGCTAAACCAGGGTGCTTTTTCTAGCTGGCTTAAGTATATCTACATTTTATCATCATGTCATGGTATGATAATGCCACATCTAACCTACTGTAAGACAATGATGACGCCCATCCACTCCATTTGCAAACAGGTGCTGAGTCCTGGATATGAAACCTTTATGCCATCACTACTGCTGCAAGTTCAGAGAAATGACTCTGATGTATTGGGGGAAATTACTTCTTAATTATCAGGACATAACATCTGATTTATAATTTACTGAATGAAACCATGCTAAATTTATGCCATATAAATTAATTCTAACCCAATGTGAGCAGGGGTGAAATGTGAATTCAGTGACTATCTAATCAAATCCCATTCAAATACAACTTTCAGATTTCCTCAAGCTTTACTTGAGACCAGCTGGCCAATGAGACTTACTTTTGCAAATTAAGAGATTATACTTGCATCATACTGGAGCTTTCTCAGACTGAGTGTTTTCAAACCAAGGAACCATTCATAGTTTTAACAATTTAAATAAAATAAATATCAGATCGTTTTGTTTTCTCTAATGTTATAATCTGAAACATCAAAGTTTCAAACACACTTCACCTGTGCAACAGTCAGGCAGCTCCTGTGATGAACATAAGGATTTCAAGATGAGAGCCAGAAACTACAAAAGCACCAAGGTGAAAAACACTTACTGTAGCAATGCTATTGTGTGAGTTAATGTGCTACCTGGCATGGACTAACATGCAGCGTGTGACTGCAGACTAGAGCCCGACCGATATGGATTTTGCTGTGGCCGATATGAAACTGATATAATGGGAGTTGGCGCTGCTGATAGCCGATATAATCGCCGATATATTTAGTGATGTAAAAATTCACTGTAAATGTTGAATTGTTTAAAAAACTTAGGTTTGGCTCTGATGGATTTTAAATTGGGTTTATTTAGGCAACATTTATTGTTATTCTGCCTCTTTACATCATATTTACAGAAGTAGGTTGACTTAATGGCATTTTTGCATCACATTCTAGACACTAGTGATGGGTATTCCAGTTCTTTTTAGAGAACCGGCTCTTTTGGCTCGGCTCACTAAAAGCTGCTGGTTCTTTTGGCTCCCAAGCGGCTCTTCAAGCAGGACTAAAGCACGTCTAAAGCAGGACTGAATCAGGACTGAACCAGGTCTAAACCAGGTCTGGAAAAAGGTCTAAACCAGGACTTATTTATTTTATGCTAAACTACAGCCAAATATGCTCGTGTTTTGTTTTTGTTTTTTTTATCCTATGTACACGCAAATTTCTAAAAGTTTCGTTTTCAGCCGCTGCCGCTGTCAAACCACAAGTCTGCACGCGGCGTGAAGAGAAAAAAGTGAGAGAAAGAGAAAACACAGCTCCCAATAAGGATCAGGCTCCCGTCGTTCCCTTCAAAGAGCCGGCTCGAAGAGTCATTTCGTTCGCGACGAACCCATAACTAGTAAAGAAACTAGCGCTATTAGCCTTTAGCCGTAAATGCTGCGCGCCGCGGTAATTAATTATATGCGCAAATGTCATAATTCACACGTCTATTCACAGCTCATTTACATATCAGTGCTGGTCCAGTAGCAAATATACGACCAATGTAGTCATTTTATAACTGACCAATAGAAAACAGTCTGTTTATGTGCGGGAGCTACAGCCGCTAATCCATAACGAATGACTAAAACTAGCTTCAAAGTCGACATATTTCCAACACTCACCGCTCATACAGGCTCCTCTCACATCACAAGTCTGCACTAATAAATGTCCTTTTAATTCAGACTCAAACCGATTGTCCGTAAAAAGAAAATAATCTCAATGTTTGGATCTGTGTCTGCGGATGTAAACAAACGCACGTGAGTGAAGCGACTCTATGGTGTGTTCAGGGACAATACGGACACACGCACGGATAAATGACTCCGTAGATAAATAATAAAATAAATTGGATTAAATGAACATAATGTAGAGAGTCTAAGATTTTTAACGACGTATCACATGCCCACGTGAAATATCGGCCCCTATCAGCAAGCATATCAGCCGATAGCCGATATGCCTCGAGGTGCCCATATCAGCCGATAATATCGGCCAACCGATATATCGGTCGGGCTCTACTGCAGACCTACACTTTTACACAGTTATATAATTACATATTTGAAATGACACACTTGAGAGAACAGGGGAATGAAAAGAATCAGGGCTTTTACTGTAGATCTCACAGATCTAACACGTCTGTGTTGCTTATAATGAATGCCTTCCTAAGCGTTTTTTTTTTTACACACCATGTATAATATGGAGATACTGTTTTGATAATTTTTAGATTTAATGTGTGTTTGGTGACAACAAATTACCCTTAATCATATAGTTACCAATGTAATCATCTGGACAATATTTTGTTTGAGACTGCCACCTAGAAGTAATTTTCAATCAATGATTGATTGAAATATGTGTAATTGTGTCTAATAAGTAAACCTACACATTTACTTTGAAAATGTACTGCAAATAAATGAACAAAAAGGTATTAAACTTGCATGTGTGGCTGCGTGCTAAAAAGTAAAGCATAAACACTTTCTAAGGTTGTCAAGTTGGCCAATACCCACTGTGAGAACACACGGAGATGGAGCCGGCCTGCTGAGACACATGTTGTAGATATTCTGAGCGTTACACCACAGCCTCCTAAGAGTCATTTTATTTGTTGGCTTTGCAATGAGAAAATGCTAAAGTGATGTCCGGACAACTTTTATACGCAGCAATGTGCTCTGAGTACACCATGGTAATACATTCAGTTGTGCAGGTTTGATTGACATGTTTACTTGAAGAACAACACTTCCTGCCTCTCCTTCCTGTCAGGGAGCTGTCTGGCCTGATACTGTGATACCTGTGCAGCACCTGACAGTGGGATTTTTTATTATTATGTTGTTTCTCCATTACAAGCTGTCATTCAAGATTGACAGACCTGATGTCCACAATGTGGTGCAATTTTGAACTTTTGACCTGTGAATTTGTGGTGTAAAAGTGGTACTGTTAATAAAGAAAAACATTGAAAAATAAGTCTGTGTGTTTCAAATACTGTCCCAAAGGGAAACCATAGCAACCCTTGTGGTACTGCTCAAGACTAGATGTGAAAAGGCATATCTTGGTCGGGTATACTCGTAGTCTATGTGGTCTTATACTTACAGCTATTCAGGAAAGGTTCATTTCTGTACTGTGAATGTGATTTTTTTAGTATATGAGTATCAAGTTTCAGTACTAGTTTTAGTATCAAATAGAATCTGATTGTCAATACTTTTGACAATCCTAATACATACTTAAAAATAATTATTCAGTTAATTTGGTTCAGTGCATTTAAGATGCAAAGCCACGGCTAAGAGAAAAAATAAGTTTGCATCATTTTAACTAATAGGTTAAGCGTTCCATTGAGCTGCAGAACTGGCTGTAAAAAAGTGAGTGCACAGAAGATCTATCAACCAAAGCAGGAGCAGGAATTCAGTATTAAGCCGCTCATAACATGCAGATCTACTTGTCTGATTTATGAACTTGTTTGTCCCCTGCTCCACACTGGAAAAACAACACACCAACACTCTCCCAGAATAATGGAGCATGTGAAAGAAGTCCATAGACGGATGACAAATTTGCTGTCTGTAGTCATTTTTACCCCGCGAATCACTGTCCCCCTAAATTATATTTTCTGAGGCCTCGACACCAGGGGGATGTGAGGAGCGGGGGGGCAATGTGCATGTCTGCGATGTGGATTTAGGATGATTTTGAGAGAGTGGTACGGTAGGAGTTGAACTCCATCAAGTTGAATTAGACGATTTATTTTTATAGCTTGTCATATTTTACAAATTGCTACCTTCCAGTGGGCTTCAAAGGAACGTCTGCTTGTCTGGTTATCTCTAAACTGTCACTTGGAGGTGATTAATGGTGTAGCAGGCCTAATTGACTTCCCTGTTGTCAGGAGCTTTTTATCTGAGGCTGCCGTAGCTCATCAAAGAGCACTGATTAAAGGGAACTATACTTACCTGGATTTACCTTTAGTACGCAATATTTGGAATTGTGCAAAATAATCAGCTAGAAGACAGTCTAACAAATATTGTTTCATCTGATGCACAAACTACTTTGATTTGGCTAAAACAAACTTGCTTCTACAAAAATATCCGAAAAGCTTTTGTGTGCATGGCCACTTACTTTCATCTGATGATAGATGGTTAGATAAAAGCACTCACGACTAACCAAAATATGGGCCTATAGAACAAAGTGGCCAGCACACATCTGAGGCACTGAATTTATTCCACCCAAAAATCTTTTTGGCATTATTTGGGTAGAGATCAAAGCTGGTGTGCTTTTGAAGCCCTGCTGTGTACTTCACTGGATGTCCCTGTCCATGTGAGAATGGTGGAGCACAGTGGCCCCACTCGTGCTGAAAGCATGGGGCACTGGTGATGAATTCAACACCACAAAGCCACGCACTGGCAAAAGAAGAGCTATTGTTGTGAAGAAGGCTGGAGAGGCCTCATTTGGTGAATAATACAGCAGTGTAAAGCTAAAGGCCTGTGTGAGGCGACTGTCTGGAGACTGGCTCCTCAGAACTCACACAGCTGTGGAGGCACCACTTTAGAGCCATTAAAGTACCATTTGCTTCCAAGGTCTCCCACAAATGTTCAATTCACTAGACTTTTCAGCTAATGTGAGATTATCCAAATAGTTGATTCAAGGATTAGTGCTGGCCAGATATCAAAAGAATCA